TCTTCGAGGTTCTGCCCACAACAAGCTCAAAGCCGACAGGGAAAACAGAGGGGCGAAGTCAACGCCCAGCCAGTTTTTCACTTGGAAAAACTTAATTATGCATGGTTAACACGAAAACTCAATAAATTTTCAAATAAATTCACATGGGCCGAGAGTCGAGCTAAGAAACGAGTGAAATCGAAGGAGCAAAACCAAAGAAAAAACCAAAAAAAAAAAAAAAAAAAAAAAAGAAATAGTATAGAATGAAAAGGAGACCGTTCGCTTGGCCTTTGGTCTATGTAAATTTTATTTGCCAAAGGATTTTTCACCAAGTTTCCTGGCTCTGTTGCATTTAGATTTATTTGCAACGTGTGTGCTATGTAAAACCTATTAGGCGGCGGGCCACTCACTCACCCATCCAACCAGCTAAACCACCCAACCACCCAAACACCCATCCACTCACCCACTCAACTGTTGCGCAACCAAGAACTCGGGAGCGCCAGGACTCGAGAATCGGGAGTCGGGAGTCGACAGAGAGTCCTGGCACCTTCGCAAAACTAATCGCCTGTTGAAAATGCCCCGCACTGTGCGAGCCAGAATTTATTGAGTTCTCATATTGAGCAATGCTATAAAAATAATGAAGCCAAGTCCGGGCAAGGAAAGGTGGCCAGGATCCCGGGCATGTTCCGCCGACTGCGCTACACTCAGGAAGGGATTCGCACGGGATCAGGAAAGTTATAGCCTTTTCAAAGGGAATCATAAAAGGTTTTCTAAAATTAACATTCAAGAAGTGCTAAGCATCCGACTATTTATTAATTTATTATTATTTTTTAAAAATGATTATTTTATATTCATAAATTTATGTTTTATAATTCAACACAATATTTTGACTCGGTCAGCTAAAAATAAAAATGTATACAATGCATCAACTTATTCATTATTGTACTTACTAAGAAATATAAAGTGAGCTGTTAATAATATATTTATTGTTAGTTTGCTGTTTTCAGTTGGTTTGTTTTTTCGGCGATCAAAGGAGGCTCCTTCTTCAACTGCAGTCCCAAACCGAAACTCCCAATCTCAATTTGCAGGGGCCACGTTTTGTCGTCGACAGTTGGCTTAGCCAAAAGCCAAAAGCCCACGCAGCTTAGTGTGTCCTGCGAAGGACACCCATGCTTTCAAGGGGGCACAAAAGGGCAGAGGGAAGAGGGTGTGGGGGATGGGGGAATAGGGTATGCGACTGCTGTGAATACTTTGGCAAAAGTGGCAGGAGCAGCGGCAAAAAGTGAAATGAAGCCGAAAGGCAAATAGAGCATAAATTACGCAAATCCAACACGACACTTTACAGCGTCGACTGCGGCAGAGCAGCGGCAGAATGATGGTGTGCGTGCGTGTGTGGGTGTGCACATGTGAGTGTGTGCGTGTGTCCGTGTGTTGGTGGCGACAACTATACAGGCAACAATAATAACAGTAACAGCAACAGGAAGAGCAACAAATAAGTTAAGTCAAAGTCGAAAAAGCAAACAAACATTGCACACGACGGTGATGGCAGCACTTACACACACACACACACATACACACCCGTTCATAGCCATTGCAGTCCTCTTTACACAGAAAAAAATACACTGAAAGAAATGTTTTCTTTTCAAGATAACTTCTTTAAAAAGTATGGTGAACTTAAGAATAAACTTTACCTATGACAAAATTTTAATGTCATAATGAATTAAATAAAAAAATAAGCATTTATAATTTTAACCACATATTTAGCAATACATATACATATATGTTCCCATAATAGCTTTAATATTTTTCAAGTAAATTCTTAAAATATTTTACTCGAACTCAAATATAAATATCATATATAATTTTATTAAATTTAAAGAGCTTTTGTTTGAGTCATATGCAATCAAAAGCTTACTTCGTGACGACTTTACCCCGAAATTAGGATGTTCTTTTGCACGATTTCCCTCAGTGCAGACTGCAACTCGCACTGGGCAAGAGTGTGGCATGCAATCAGGCGCCAAATGCTCAAGTGTCTCATTGTCAGCATGTTGCATGTGCAGCGGCGGCGGCGAAGAGGAGCTGGCCATGGGAAAATAAAGTAAAATGAACAGCAGCAGCGAAAATGTTAAGGCAAGTAAATAAACATTGTACGCCATTATCAGGCACTGTCAGCAGCAACAGCAGCAACAGTAGCAACAATCAACAGCACCAGGCAACATAATTTGCAGTTGCAACTGAGAACTTTTCAATGGTTTGAAGCTGAAAAAGCTGACAGGACCTCCTGCACCAAAAAAGAACAAAAAATGGAAAGGCAGCGGTGCATGGCAGGCACAGTGGGAAAAAATATGGCTTACTTATGCTCAATATTAGGATACATAAAATAGGAACTTTTTAAATCATTCTAATTATAGTAAAAGATTTAGTATATACCATTTCTAAAAATAAAAATAAGAGGAAATCAAAGAAATAAATAAATTAAAATGATGTAGAATTAAAGAGCGTGGTAAAGGAAGTAATTTTTTATAGAGTCAAATTATCAAGATACATCCTTGAAAATTTGTTGATTTTGTAAGCTATATTTATTTATTTATTTATGAAGAGCTACTCAGTAATTTAAAATTAATATTAATATTAAGCTATATATTTACGTAGTATTTCTTACTTTTGCAAGGTTTAAAAGTAATTTTTATTTTACAAAGAAATCACTTTCATATACAACTAGAATGTTAAAATAGCTAAAAATTAAAAAAATATAGGATTATACTTTTTACCACATATAACAAAATATATAGATACATAGGTATATAGACACGGTTTTATACGGATAATATTCGCCTGAGTGCAGGCAACACTTTTTTCAGCAGACTTCTGACGCACAGGATCACATATTCGGGTAACTGGACCATGGCCTTCTCTTCTTCTTCTGCTCCCCCTCCCCTTTATTTGTCATCAATTCTATACCCTATAGATACTCCTGATTCGATTTGTTAGTTCTCTTCAGAACTATTCCACTGTCCAAAGGGGCGTGCATGCGAGTATAGCTGCCGGCAAAGTCCATTGCCTGGCATAAAGCCCGGATATGCCGGCGAACCTGATATTCCCTGTGTGTGTGTGTATTTTAGTAGTGTGTGTGTGTGTCAGTTTACATGTGTGTGTATGTGTTTTTGTTTGCCTGTGTGCAAGTGCATGGCTGAACAGTCAATGGCGGTGTAGCCCAAAAGACCGGAAGTGCAGTCGAGCAACAACGATTGTGTGTGTCTGTGTATATGTATATGTATATGCTTACATGTGTGTGTGTGTGAGTCGGCTAAACAAAAGTGGCACAACGAGCTGAACTTGTGGGCGGCGACAAGGGAAGTGCCGAAAAACGAAAAGAAAAGCCAACACGAGTTGACATAGAAATTGTACAAACTGAAAATGATTTGTGTGCCTCCTCCCATCGCCAGCACACAAAAATCCAGGCATATATATACATATTTGCACAACGGTGGGTCGATACTATAAACTATAAAGCATACCAACTATTTTCACCCTACTTAAATGTGAAAACAAAATGTTGGTCATTTTTGTGAAGTAACAAAATTTAAAAATACATTTTAAAACCAAAACTGCAAATTGGAAAATTCCGGTAACTTGATCTTTGGATTGGTAATCACTGTTTACGGCCTTGTAATTACGCATTAGGGTTTTTTGGCAACAAACGAAATTAAATACCCTCTATTTATATTATATTCATTCCTTTTTTTCTATTATATAACCCTGAAAAGTTTCATTACACCAATTTGGCCTGAAAATGGACAAAAGTTGGGCAGCAAAATGCGAAAGGCGAATGGCGAATGGCGAGTTAAACCACTGCCCTTTTGGAACACGGCCACTGTGGAGTTGGATGACGCAGGTCCAGGATTTGATCCTGCCAACCGATGAGCCGCAAGCGAGACAGATAGACAGACAGACTGCCTCCTGCCGCAGGGGGCGTGGCAGGTGGATTGGGGGAGGAAAAGGGGGAAAGAGGGAGGCATTGGCAGACAGGCGAAATTGCAAATTATGCTTTTTGGGGGAAGGGAAGGGAAAGGGGGGGGGCGGTAAACCAAACTGCGGCGGCGAGTCAGTCCACTGTCTGCGCTCTAATTATGCAAACTACCTGCTGTTACTCAATTAATCTTGATTACGTTTGTGTTATCCAAATACAATTATTTTGGTATTAATTACAGTGGCCAGGAGCCGAAATGGGACGACCAGACGGAGGACCACTTTTACGAGCGGAAATTGTCTGGGTCGCCGAACAATGCGCCGAACCACCAACTACCCAGCGCCACCCAGCGCCACCCAGCACCACCCAGCACCACCTAGCACCACCCAAAGCCACCCAACAGATTGCCTTGGCCAAAACACACAACGCATTAGAGGCAAGTGTTTTTCGCCATTTTTTTTCTGTTTCTGTTTCTCGACTGGTGTTTTGGGGAAATTCGCATTTCCATTCTGGTTCCCATTCGTATGCCACTCGCATTTGACGCGACTTTTCCGAGCATCGTAGCTGGTGGGTCGGTGGGTGGGTTAGTGGGTGGGTAATGGGTGGATTTCCTAATTAGCCTAGGAAACGAAGTATCGAAATGCGTGTGTTCGAGCAGAGCGTTGACCTTAATTAGCAGCCGGCGAAAATGAGAGTTAAGTGCCTTGAATCGGGCTTAGGGGATAAGCCAATGGATAATCCTAATGGCGACCCACTGAGTGTGGTGAGAAAGGGGATCTACTTGTACTTGTACCGCCTGAAGTTAGTGAATGAAATAGAGAATAACTTAAGCTAAAGTTAAATCATGCTATATAAGTTTTTGTTTCAGGCATTACTATTTGTATAATATTATAAGAATTACCGATGGCATTTGAATTTAACACTTCAAGATTGGCAGACCAATCATTACTCGACTGATTTTAAACCATTACTTCTCCTATTTAATTCAGAATTACTGATCCAATTTAAAATGATAAGTTCTAGAGTTTTCTTCCAATAAATACACTACCCCTTTTGTATTTTAAAAATTACCGAAGGCATTTCAGTTTATTAGTTCATTCTGGGTTCCTGGTGATGACGGTGACGTAGCAGTTGCACAATCGGTGTTTGACTTGTCCCTTGACCACCAGGCGCACCTTCTTCTTGCTCAACTTGGGGGCCTTCCTGGAGGGGATTAGGGAGGAGATGACCACAGGTGGCCGGTACCTGAGGTAACGTGGCAGCAGTTTAATTGGCAGCATGATGGGTTTTCCCTCGGACTTCTTCTGCAATCGTTCACACTTGGCGATCAGATCGCTCAGCTGCCCGTTGATCTCGTCGACGATTAAGGATACCATCATCAAACGATCCTTTTCTGTAACCCATTTGGGAGTGGTTTCTTTAAAAGCCAGCGCCCTTAGTTTTGCCATCTTGTTGAAATCGAAATATGACAGGCTCGTCGGCTTGGTGTCCATTTTACTTGGAGTATGGGTTGCGATTCCTGATGCCTTTTTCTGCTCCTCTTTCTCGGTTTCATCGGGTTTTTTTATAAGCTCCTTGGGAGTATCCAACTTCGGATTTCCATCTATCACCTGAACACCTTCGTTAGATTCATCAGATTTCTTTACGGGCTCCTTTGTGATTTCAACCAAACCAAATGAAGATTCCAGTTCCATTTGCTGCTCATTGCTTTTATTGGTGCGTTCCATCAGCCCCTCGAATGCAACTGAATTTATGTGGTTCATGGTACAAACTTTTAAAATTTCTTTGCAAAATATTTTACGAAAATCGTAAAAAAAAAACTGGGGTTTTGTCAAGTTGAGACCCAAAGAAAATATTAGCTCCTCCTAAGAGAAATTTTGACAGCAGCTTGACGTTTAAATAAAAGTCACGGCACACTTATCTTGAGGGTATTCGACTGAACAGGATTTTAATACCAATCAAAAATTAAATTATCGCAAAATAATGTTTTTGTTTCTTTTAAAAAATCAAATCGCCTAGAAAATAATAACCAACCGCCATCCTTTTTGATCGCATCAACCAAAACGGCTTTAATTTTGTTATTTTTTGGTTGTTTGCCCATTTTTTTTCAAATCTCAATGCTCTCTTAATGAAAAATTAAACAAAAAACAGCTGATACAAAATTAAAGCGTTTTACACGAAGGTGGAGTTATCGAGTTATTGGGTTAGCTTCGTCTTTTTACAAACATTTTTTAGAGGTGGGCAAAAGTCTTGTGTAAATTGAATCTTTAGTATTTATTTTTAGTTTAGTTTAGTGGTTTTTCGGTTGTAATAATACCAAAAAGTGACTTATAGCGAAACCAAACACTGTTTTGAGCACCTTATTACCAAAGATAACGGACCCAATTACTTTTTGGAGGATTAAAAAAAGTTGATTCAGAATTCTATAACGAATTTAATTATGTAAGTCATTCCACATTTGGAAGAGTAGTTCCTCAGTTATTGCAAAAAAAAAACTGAGTTTTCTGAGTAATTTCACATAGTTTTGGGAAAAACAAACATTTTTCAATTTGTTTATTTGGGCAAGAACAAACAAATGGGCTAATCTTATTATTATGTCTAACAAGAAAGGTTAATACACATAATTTATAAACAAATAAGTTTAATGCATTTATTAGCAAAAAATCTTCATGGGACAGATAAGCGAAGATGTTTCGTGATAAAAGTAGACAAGATTAGTTGAATTTTTAATTTAGTTCTTTAATGTTAACTCAGTGATATATCCATCATCTTTCACTTTACAATTTGATAGGATGTGAGCTGTGGACTCATTTCGGAGAGCCCGGAGAGCCCGGAGAGCCCGGAGAGCCCGGAGAGCCCGGAGAGCCCGGAGAGCCCGGAGAGCCTTTGGCTTTTTTAGTCGGGACATTCACTACTACTACAACCCAGCAGTTATTGATGCAACGTAGTTCGGAGACCGAAGTGTAGCTCTCCTCGTCTTCTTCTTCCATGTCCTGATTGCCCTCATCCTGCTTCTGTTCCTGAACTTCAACTGGCTTGTTAACTGTCTCTGCTGAATTCCATTGCTTAACATCATAATTCACTGGGGCATCGCCGATAATTTGACTAGGTTTCACGACTGGTTCCTTCACGGTCTCCTCCATACTTTTACGATCCCCAATCCCGGAATTCTTATTGCAGACATGCAAAGAAGAAGAAGATGCATGTTGAAAAGGTACTTCCTGCTTCACTTCCTGGATGCTCTTCACTGAATTGCATGCAGTTGCAGAAATTCTATTCGCAGCTTCATTTAAATGCTCCTTGGAGATCGCAGCAAAATGACATATCGATTCATGCGGCTTCTCTCCAATATTAACCACAGAATTTCCCACTGAAAGGACCTTCGACACAGAATTTTGTACTGAAAATTCTATCTTCTCCTCTGGGAACACACATTTATTTGCATCTGTATTCTGATTGGAGATGGCCTCAAAAGAACGTATGTAATCAACCGGCTTCGCCTGCATATTTTCAAATGGAGGAACGTCTATCTTCTTCTCTGGAAGCTCATTTATAATTTCATTTGACTTCACTTCAAAACACTTTGCCAAATAATCATTCATATTTTCTGCGGTGATCACTAACTTATCCGCCGATTTAGTCTGCACGCTTTCGTTATGATTATCCATGTCGTTTGTATACACGATGGGACTGCGCACTAAAATTGTAAAACTTATAGTCAAAATTTGAAAAATCAAAAAATTCTACCGATAAACTCCGTAAGAAATTTGTAAAAATAAATGTGGTGTTGCTTGGTCGAGACTGAACAATGGAATGAGGAAATCCAGACGATGAAAGGGTCAACTGAAATTTTTTCGGCCGAAGTTAAAGTCAGCGCCTACTGATTTTACAAAAATGCTTTAGAACAAATCTTTAGTAGAAAGCGCCTACTGATTTTACAAAAATGTTTCTAGGATAATTCTATATGAACTATTCAAAAAAGTTGTACTTGTTCTTTCGTTTGAGAAGTTAGCATGTTAATTTTGAAGTGCTCGTTTACTTTAAGTACCATTCCTTCAATTTCTTGTCAAGTTGACAAAGTAATGCAAATCATTCGGTGGTTTCTATAAGCTGCAGTAAAAAAAAGAGGACGCATTGGCTCACTCTTGGTTGTCAGGTTCGATTTTCCCTACCCGCATTCCAGGATATCTATCTGCTCGAGATAGGGCCAAGTCCTTCAGGGTGAACCCTATTTATTAGTTGCTGCATACAACCGAATAGAAATTCATATTAAAGAAAATAAATACAGACAGATTTGTTTCAGAAATGTTATATCACATATATTAAAAAAATATATATATTAATAATTTTAAAATATCCAAAAACTGAGAAAGTATAATTTCTTTATAAGCCAAAGAACATTAATTAAATATTCTATCCAAAAACATAATATCGTGCCAAAAAGTGTTTTTTCTTATGACTTCTTTTTGAATCACTAGTGAAGGTCCATCCTAATGGCCAGCATTGTCCTTTGGTAGCCTTTGTGTGGCCCGTCTGCCACGAGCTGCTCAATAATAAATACATGAATAGATAAACTAGGACGTGGATCGGGCAAGGACGAGGACTCGCAACAGGACAGCATCTGGCAGCCTTGGCACGTCCGCCTTGTACCCATAATATATTAAATATACGATAAGCATACCAAAAAAAAAAAAAGAGAGATGAAAAAAGTAGAGATTGTTGTTGGCGAATGGGGAAGGGGCAGCGGGGGGATGGCGGCCACCTAGGTCACCGGATTGTCGCTCTCGGGGATGACCAGCTCCTCCTCCCTGATCCTCCCGGGCAGCCGCTCCACCACCTGCTCCCGTCCGGCCAACTGGAGCTGGTAGTTGAAGTACTCGTACACGTACAGCTGCTTGCTGTTCACGTAGTGGAAGGCCACCGGGTACTCCGACAGGCAGTCCATGCACTACAAAAAAAAAAGAATGGAAAACAATATGAAAACTCATATAAAAGAAAAGAATTTGAGGCAATGGTGAAGATATGTCTAAGTCTCATCACAAAGAAACATATGAACAAAAAAAAAAACATTCCTAAAATACAAGTATTAGAACTGCCCATTCGAATGTATTTATATATTTTATCAAACTATTGATTCTAATATAATATTGCATTATAAAGTGTTTGCTTTAAAAAAAAGTAGATGAATTTCGTATGTATGTACTTGAATTTTTTTAGGATTTCCAAATGTACAATGAAGAGTAATATAATTGGTAAATGCAAAAAAACAAAGAGAAAACGCTTTTTTCTAACTTAAACTATTAAGAATATATACATATATATAAAGAATCCTTATTAGGAATCACAGTAGCCCTTGCTTTTTCAAAGCTGAACAAATTTTTGCAAATAAATTCCAAAAATAAATAAATGAAACGGTTGCGGAACTCACGGATCTGGGATTGTAAAAGGCGTATCTGTACAGCCAGAAGTCCATGGCTACATTCCCCGAGAGCAGAGCCCCGAAAGGAGCCACTGGATAGAAGCGGTTGCGCAGCTCCTCGTCGCGAGAGTCCCCCGCCTTGACCCCCAAATTGAACAGGCACCTGCCCATCTCCATATCCTCGGGGTGATCGTCCTCCTGGCGGCACTTGGCACTATTATTCAGGCCCTCGACGAAGGTCCTTAGAGCCTCGCGACTCAGCACGTAGCCACTTCCCCCTGACATATAAGACTGCAAATAGAAGGTTAATATGTTTAATATACATACAATATATATATAGTATATACAGGAGGTATAAAAATAATATATAATATACATTTAATACATTATTTAGTTAAATTATGATACTTATCAGAGATAATTTGATATCTTCAGCCTTGAACTCACCTCGTTCTTCTGATGGTTGCCAACCATCTTGTAGTTGAATCCGAAATAAATCGAAGTGTTTGGGGAGTACGGATAGAGCATGTATCGCAAGTTCTCCAGAAACACGAATCTATTAATGGAACAGAGTGATGCCATGAGTTTGCAATTCATTTCGACCTTCTCAATTGACAACTTTTTACTTTTTACCGCATTCACCTGCTATCTTCGTTTCATATCTCTTCAAAGTCACACTTATGTCCGCTCACAATTTATAGAACTCTACATTTCACTTTACCTAATTTAGTTTAAAAGCAAATACTAGTTAGGTTTTTATAATTTTTTTGCAAAGCTTTTTATGCCATAAATGCCATAACAAATAAATTAAATACTGCACTGAATATGGCTAATTTCGAATTAAATCTAATAAATATTGCAATTAAATAAAAAATGACTCAATTAATTACTGATAATCTTAAAAAACACTGAGCTGCAGCGAATGTATAAATATCTTTCAAGTTATTTGGGTATCTGGTCTAAAATGCTACCGGAAAAGTCTAGAGATCATAGATACCATATCAAATGTTCTTCACGAGCACGCTTTTTGTTTAGCTAGCAACTTTTGCCACTTATTTGGTGGTTCACCTACGTGTCGTCGTCTGCCTTGAGGAACCAATCGGCCTCGTCGAGCATCCGCTCGTAAATGGTGGTGAACGCCTCCTTGGTCTTGCCCCAGAGCACCTCGTACTTGTCCGGTTTGGTGAGGACCACCGTGGGCAGCTCGTCGTCCGGTTCGGAGGTCATGAAGTAGATCTTGTTGCATCGTTTTCCCCAAGTCCGCAAAACGTGAATGGCCCTCGTTTTGTGGTACTTTGGTGTTGTCAGAACCCAGCACAGGACTCTTACTTCCCGGTGGAGCTTCTCCGCCAACGTTTCGTTACCCAGAGCCTCCGAGAAACGGCGGGAATCTGCGTGTTTGGTCAGTGGCACAGCTCCTGCGGTGAGCATCATCACATCCCAGTAGGCATAAAAGACGATCAGCAGACTGCCACTGAGGAGGAGCAACAGGAGCACCTGACTTCCGGAGAGCTGCCTGGCGGAGCGGTGTTTTCCCTGGCAGCCGATACCCAGTGCGATATACTCCCCTTCCATTTCGCCACTGACTCCCGAAATCGGAGCCGCTGTCGAACGGGAATGGGAGTGCTCTTATCACCACGAAACTGCGGCCAAGATAAGACAAGGTGGCTGTCAAAGACGATAGTCTATATTGGGAACATCGGTGGGCAAAAGTTAGCTGCATTGGGTTAAAAGCGGAGAGGGTCTAGCAAAATACTTGGCATACCCAACATATCTATACCGGTTATGTCGGTTACCGCATAGATATGCCAGGTATTTCGTCTTATCAGTCTGCGCTTTTCAAATTTCTTAACAACATTAATTCAAAAAGTTCTTACAGTTAGATACAGATTGTAGGATAACGCTAGATTAATAAATAAATAAAATTGACTACCAAGACAATAAAAACCTATATTAATCAACAACAATATTTTTAAATAAGGTAATTCAATAAACATTTAGACTAGATATAAGTGTACAAATCATAATACATAGAAACAAACAAAAAGAAAAAATCAATATTGAACGCCAATAAATTGATCATCTTTAAGAAACAACTAAACATTTAATTTACTTAATTAAGGGTTTTAAAAACAATTCAAGGAAGATACCTACTTCTTTTAAATTGAAAATCTAACTCCTCAGGAAACCAAAAAAGAACACAAAATCTTTAAAAACTTAAAAGCAAGAATGCAGCCAGACCCTCGAACTAATTGTTTACCACGCCAGTCCCTTAGGAAATACCATTGGATATTCCCAAGAAATTTATTTAAATTTCGCCGAGCATAGTTCATTAATCAAAACACTTTGGCCGAGCACACGGAGCAACAAGCTCCTCGAAAGCGAGCGGGGAAAAATATAGAAATAATAAAAATAAGGGCGAGAGAAGAGGAGGAGGGGCGAGAGAAGAGGAGGAGGGGCAATCGCAAAACCCGAAAACAGTTGAAGTTGAGAGAATCTTTCAATTAATCATGAGCGACATGTGGTCGTTGCTGGACGCCTTTTGGAGGGGGCGTGGTCGGGGGGGCAGAGGCGGTGGCGGTTGCGCCAGGGGGCGTGGCGTGCGACGGGAACGAAGACCGCCAGCAGCGCGAGAAAAATTATATAGCGCATACGCCCTGTGGCTCCCAGGCACTCGGATGCTCGCGTGCAAACAAATGGCTGCCATAATAGCGACCAGGCGGCATCCTGGTCGCATCCTGAACGCATCCCTGCACCATCACCCCCCAAATCCGCCTCCTTTTCCCTCCAACATCCGTGGCCAAACAAACTCCCATTAATAAAATAAAATGCAGGCAGCGGTGGAGAAGCGGCTAAGAATAAAAACTATTTGGCATTGTGGGCGTGACCCCCTGCGATTTCCCCCACAACGAGTGGCAGTGCCCAAAACAAATACAAATACAAATTTTTCCAATAAAACCAGGCGGCCTTCCTCGTACTTTTTCTTTTCTTCTTTTTTTTTTGTTTTGCCTGTCAAAATTAGTTTTGGCCAGGGCAAACAGTCCAACGAAATGCAAATAGGAGCGGGTGCCAATCCCCCCTCCCCTCCTCTCCCTCTGCAGGCCCCACTGGGTGATAAATGCCTTTGACCTTTCGATGATGTGACCCACATGGGGCCACTGACCATGGGTGGCGGTCAATGGGGCATTCAGATTGGGAAATCTGTCTTAGTTCTTCTAACAACAATGTGGGTTAATTGCGTTTAAAATGTTGTTGAATATATTCAAAACTATTAGTGGTGTTGTATAAAATTTGACTTAATTTTATGCCAAGAAATTGTTAAAATATATTTTTAAAGACACTGACATATTTCGTACAATTTTCTATTAAATAGTTTATTAAAATATTTCTGGTCTTTGTCTTTTACCCAAAATATTAAAATTATCAGTTTCATTACAATTTCAATATCAAAAATTCAGCAAGCTTAATATTTTCAGAGGATTCATAAAAAGCACAATGCTATATTTAAAGCCCAGTTGTTGGTAGAATATATTTCCAAAGACAATGTTTTATTTTTTACTACATTCTATTAGGTTTTTATTACAGAGTTCTATGTCTTTGTAATTTAGCCATTCCTGGTTTCCATAAAGCTTAAGTTGCGGGTTCAATTAATGAAACAATGAAAGCCTTATCCTTTCGCTCGAGCAATTCCTACTACCTCCTCCCGTCCTTTAAATTTTCTATATAGCTGGCACTGGCTCACAATCAACAGTTCTTTACCATCTGGTTTTCGCTGCCTCAATACAATAAAAATCCAGCCAACCAGCACCGGATGGTTTTGGGGTTTGGGGTTCCTGCGATGGTCGGTCGGTCAACTGCAAACTGTGCAAATCATAAAAATAAACCAAAGTCAAATGTATAACTGCAGATTTTTTGTAATAATGTTAGCTTTTGGATTTTACAAGCGCGCCAAGGCAAACGCCATTTGTCTCGCAGTCTGACTGTACTTCCCCCCATCCCCCATCCTCTCTCTTACTCCCTCTCTCCCTCCGCCTCTCTCGCTCCTTGCTATCTCTTTTTCTTCTTGTTGGCTCACAGTGTATGTAAATATAAGTTGCATTGTTTGCAACAGTGGTGACCGCGTGAGAAATCCCATCGTGGGGAAAAATGTAAAAAAGAATTAAGGGGCAGCTACATTCAAAATTATTGGAAACTTTAAATCATGCAGTTTTAAAATCATTGGTTTAATAATTATGCTACGATATTAGCATAACATTTTTATAAGGAAACTAATTCAATTGACAATTTCTAGAATTTTTAAAAACAACTGCTGTCATTTAAGGTAAAAAGGAAATCTTAAAAAATATTACCGAGGATATAACACTCACGAAAGCTCTTTCCCCATCTTATTCCCCTACTTCCGTCTTTCGCCACAACATCTCCACTGCATCTGTCCGCACCGAACATCCAAAAAAAAAACTCTCACACACACACACACATAGTGAGACATCAAACGTGCAAACATTTGCCATATTTTTGTAATCAAAGTAAACAATCCACTTAACCCAACACGGACATGCAAAGCGACTGCCAGCTGGCTATCGCCCTGTCCCTTTCTAACATTCTGTAGCCATCTCGCTTCCGCCAAATGAAACGTCTTTTGCAATTTCGCTTCGATTTTTTTTGGGTGGGAATGGAGGCCAACGACACTGGTGCTGCAATCCACCCACTTAACCCACTCAACGCAGTGGAAAGCGAACCACACTAACATTTTTTTCCGCTCCAAATTTGGTACAAAATACGCTTTACGTATACGTAATAATACGTATACGTAATACTTATACTTAATACGTATACGTAATATTTAATAAATAAATATATAATATAATACGAATACGTTTAATACGTATACTTAAAACGTATACTTAATACGTATACTTAAAACGTATACTTAATACGTATACTTAATACATATAATTAATACGTATACTTAATACGTATACTTAATACGTATACTTAATACGTATACTTAATAAGTATACTTAATACGTATACGTAATATTTAATAAAGAAAAGTATATTAAATTCAAATATAATATTAATTGCATTATTATTTCTTTACCAAAGTTCTATTTTTCTAGACAGTCAGAAGTTATCATCAAATAAATGGATAGCAATTAGAAACTTATTTTTGTATTGTGTTCATACAATATTTTAAACTTTATAAATTAAATCGCAAACTTAATATCTATTCAATTGTGAGAAGTTGATTTTAAAAGTCTTTTTTATGAAGAAGCATTTTATTCTACGCTTATTATTTTAATATTAACATTTCGATTTCCTTTCCGTTATCGCGTCAGCTGAATAATTTGATATCCCTCTATATTTTCAGCAACTTCATAGCGTTATGACAGCTCGATATTATGATAATTTTTCCTTGTGCACCCACTGCTCGTTCATACATCTCTGCAGCCATCCGTTTGTTGCTATTGTCACTACTTCGAAGAAGGACCGGGTGTCCTGCTGAATTCCAGCACTTTTTTTTCGGCCCCACATTCTGTTGAATGGATGGACGAGGAGTAGAAGGAGGAGGAGCAGGAGAAGCAGCAGGATGGAGGAGCAGGAGGAGCTGGGCACGTGATGCCTTTCGATGTCTTGGCTCGTTTTTTATGCAAACAGCATTTGAATTTGAAATGAAAACGCTGACGGGCGCCGCGAATGCCAATGCACATGGAGCAGGGACCCCGGACTCCGGACTCTGGACTCCAAACTCGGATTCGGATTTGGATTCGGATTCAAAACCCGGATCCGGTGGTGGCTGCGACTTGGGAGTTGCGAATTGTCCGGATCCGGCCAACTGGTCGACGTCCTGCAGCTGAAGTCCTTCGCTGTGGGGGGGAATCCACTGCCACTGCCATTGCATACATACTTTCCAGGGTTTCGTGCGGTTACTCCTAGCACACTGATATGACAGCGGTCCACCCTGGAGTAGGGTGGCCCAGCCGTGAGGAAAAATTAGTGTATTTTTGGAAAACTAGGATCTAATACAGCAAAAATTGGTAAAGAAATATAGAATATGTATTATTAGTATCTAAAGAAAGTTAAATTAAAAAGTCGAATAATTTTAAAGTATATAATTGAGCATATATAAAATATCCAAATATATTTAATATATATAAAATATATCAAATATCCAAAATATAGGGTTGGAATACAATTAAAGAGAAAAAAGACCTCAAGGTTATTTTCAAAGAACTTTTAAAATTAATAAAAAATGTATTCAGGATAACCCATAGTTATGATTTCATTTTTGTTTGATTTAGACAAAGCGACTCACCCTTTTCACCAGTAACATTGTGTCCATTGGCATTTTGCTGGTAAACACAAAAGTCAGGGGCAGTAAGAAAGGGGTAACAAGGGGTCAGGGAAAAGAAGTGGGTGCAGGGGGAGGAGTGGAGGAGGGGTGGCGGGGTTTGGGTAAATAGTTTTTACTGCACAAAAACACAAAACGCAATGACAAAAAGGCCATAAAAAGCAGCGCCGCCAACTTTGTTATTACATTTTTAAACCGGGCACACACACACATACACAAGCACACACACACACATATGCAAACCGTTTTTATTGGCATAAAGAAGCAAGTGGAACACCTGTTCCAGCCACCATAGACATCCCGCTGTCGCGGATTCATTTGCATTTGCATTATTTCCCTGTTTGCCCAGAAACCCTTTTACCCCCCTAACCCCCCTTTTCCCACTCTTTTTTGGAGCAGACTTTTATTATTTTTGGTTAGTTTTGCTGCATTACAAAATGTGTTGACATGTTATGATTTCGATTTTAATTTCAGCAGCTGCAGGCGGAACAAAAAACGGGGCTGTGGATGTCGGATCCGCAAACATTTGCCAAAGCCAAAAAACCCGAACTGCATTTGGAGCTCAGCTGGGAGTTTAAATCAAATTGAAATCACTGTGATTTGTAAAATAATATTAAGAATAAATAAAGAAATTCAGGACACAAATATTTGAATTGGTTGGATTATGTGCTCAGATGGAAAGATTTTTTTAGGATCACGGGAAAGCGTAGCTATTTTTATTGCATATTAAATGCCTTTATTTCGTTATTAGCATTATGAGTTCGCTTTCGATATGATTATCGCCCATTAACGTTAACAGGTACTCAAACAGATCGATTACCCGATATCCCATTTGGTGTTTGTCCAACAGCTAAAAGGATTTAGTCAACAACTTTGAGCCAGGATGTGCCAGCTGCATTTTCGTATCGGTTACTCCTTTTGTCTTATTTCGCAGTTGCTGAGAGTTTAGTTGGCAAGAAGTTCATTTTGGGTATTGATTTCATATATATGTGCAGCACTCGACATAGTTAGTACTCACGCATACATTATTTTTCCCTCATTTAATTCAAAGCTTAAATTACAGGTTAATATATATTTAATTTTATTTTGAGTACTCGATTAAGGGGGAACTACAAAACTTTCTATTGGTTTGCAAACGCTTTATAAGGTGTCTTAAAGTATTATTTCATTTCAGCTTTAGCACAATTTGGGCGATCGAAATATAGAATTTTAGGTGGCTTTTACTACAAATTGTATCTTAAATTTTTTTGTAGTTTTAATTAAGATTTGTTTATCATCAAAACTTGTTTTTAAAGCATAATTTTCACAGATCCTCCTCAGCGAGTCATCTTGCAGCTGATCCCGCTGTCATTTGTCAGCTGGCTTCCTTGGCTTTTAATTAAATATGTTGCCAGGATTTCAGCCACATCCTCGGGAGGTGGCTCAGAAACGTCTGAAGACTGTGACAGGACATAGACATAGTTGTGCCTCCTCGGCTTCTCGCCGAGCAGAAGGACGGAACAAAAGTTGTCACTCGGGTGTCAGTTGGGTAAAGATAAATAAATAAGCTGTGGGCCAGGGCGTTAAGCAAGTTGTGGCTGTTATCCTTGCAGCTCTACTACCACTGCCACGGCTGCTCCTGTCCTGCTCCTTTTGCTGCTCCTACTCCTGCGGTTTATATTTATGTGCCGCCGCTATTGCCTTTGCTATTGTCCTGTTGTTGTCACGCGAGCCGGGCGCGCATTTCCAATAATAATCTCTTGTCCCGGACATAAATGTCGCATTAAAATGTCACGCACTTGTGGCTTAATCACGCCAAAGGATAACGGCATGCCCACTGCCTCCGAATCACACTGCGCAAAATAAAATAACCCATGAAATGGTGGTTAAGTATTTTTAGATAGAAAGACTTTTTTATTGTACAAAATTAGCAGTTGCAAAAATAACTTTTCTAATTTGTAAGAAATTCGAGGATACAGATTAAAATTTCCCAAAATATTGATTGTGAGTTTTATTTTGGTTCATTTTTTTTACCTTTTTTTATATAAATTATAATATGATATTATCTTATAATCCTTACGAAGGTTCTAATAATTTTCAATATTTTATTTCAGAATGAGAAACGCAAGTTTTTCTAGGTCCCTTAATTTTTCGGTATTTTATTTTAAAACGAGATCCAACAGTTTACCACGCTCAATATCTTTTTTTCAGGTGCAGGATGTGGGGGCAGGAGCGCCGGACATGCAGGACCAGAGCGCTCTGACAACAGCACTTGAATAGTCATCCCCGCACCGCCAACCTTGTTATCTCAGCGACTTGGAGCGAGGACTCTGGACTCGCAGGACCTTCCCGGAAAGGGGGCAAGGAGGCAAGGAGGAGGAGTTGGCGCGAGGAGTGCGGTTCATAGGCATTACTTGTTTGCGGTTTTTATTATATCATGCTCATGTCAAACGGGCTCAGCATTGTCACATCCTTAGCCGCTGCTGACGATGACGACGAGGATGAGGATGCGGATGAGGACGCGGATGAGGATGCGGATGAGGATGCGGATGCGGACTATGATGATGATGATGCTGGCGATGTCCTGCCAGCTCAGCGTCCTGTCATTCCGGCTCTTAGCCAACGCCACCATCGCCTCCTCCTTCGATTCAAACCTAAGTCTTCGAGACCTCCTCTTGTCCTTCAGCTCAAGCTGCCAGTTATTACACATTGCCAGCGTCTTAATGTCGGGATTGTCGGACGACGAGGACGAGAATGAAATTCAGGATGCCCCTCTCGAGGATTGCGCCCTAATTCGCCAACAGGTGGCGGGCCTCGGTTCAAGTGGCTTCCTTTGAAACGATGGTTGGGGTGCCAAAAAGGCCAACCACATTGGCCTAAACGAGACGAAATGTCCTTTTGAATACCCTGAAAAGGGAAAAGGTCCTGTAACCCTTTTGGCACACACATTTATATACAAAAGAGGTTGACTAGTTGTCGTCTTGTGCATAAAATTAAATAAATACTAGTTAAATACTATCTCACTTTTAATTTCTATTGCATTCTATTGAAATTACACTATTGAACATTTTTTAAAATTTATTTAACATTGTATCAAACATTCTTATACAAAAAAAGGTGTCAATTATTTTACATACATAGAAATTCTAAATTAATCAAATTCTGATGTGCTGTTTATTAAAGCAACGATACAATTTTAGAAGAATGCCCTTTTCAGGAAATTGACTAAATACAGTTTTATAAATAATTCATTTAAATCAGCTTATATCTAGAGGAAATTGTATTTTAATAAATTGTTTGTAAATACTGTTGTTATGTATTAAACGAATGTTTGTGACATTGATTAGAATGCAAACTGTTCTTATTTTATCTTGAAACAATAAATGCATAATTTTATCAAGCTTTAACCTGAATTCCGTGGCAATTCCCCACTTGCCAGTTGAAACCTCCTTTCAGTGAGATCCGCAGACTCCTTGTGAATTTCTCGAGAGCATTGCAGCTTCGTTTTTGGCCTGGCCAAGAGAGATGTGAGTCATTTAGACCGGCTGCAATTGGCAGCAGCAGCAGCAGTCGGCAACGGCCGGGCAACATTTTATAAGTTAAGGCACGTTCCAGTGGTTAGGTCCACTCAACGGCCTGGCCAGGACCGCAGGATCCCCTGCCCCATTCTCCCCCATTCCCCTTGGACATCTTCTTTGTGGTCAGGGGGAAAACTGCAGTCGACTGCCGCAATGAGAACGCAAAGTTTATTTGCTGAGCCGGGCCAAAAAAAGCGGCCGAGTTGTCCGAATGGACGGGCAAAATGTAATCGTAACCCCTTTTGGTAGGTCACAAATTGAATTATGGACAAGAGAGAGCATAGGGAAAGGGAAAGGAAAGGCAGCCTTCTGAACGGGGGCTAATTCGATTAGACAGTTACAAATGCTGATTCGATTTGCATTGTCAATTAAATCGCTATCCTGGTAGCAGCCATAATTGCATTACAGCATATTTGCCTGTCATCAACATGTTTTGCCCACAAATTTTCCACCGACTTCAGCACTTTGCGCAACGCCCCCTTTTCCGGTTGCTGCTCAAAATAATTCCTAATTTTGTTGCCCCACAACCCGCTCTCCCTCTCTATTTTCTCGGCCTTATTGGTAGTAGCATTTGGGTAGCGGCTTTCTTGGTGATTGGCCAGCAAAAAGTTTTGTGGCAGCCGCAGTGTCGCCCAAGGAGTTCGTGTCCTGCGTCCTGTGTCCTGTGTCCTGTATCCTTTTGCACTCGACTGCCTTGAGTTGCGTTGAGTTAAGTTGAGAGTTGATGAAAGGCCAAGTCAAATGGCCCACTGATTGCATTGACATCCCCCTTCTGGTCCCCTCGACCCGGCCGCAATGTATTTTGGCCGAACTTTACGTATGATTTGCTGGGAAAATTGAAATTTGCCCAGCATCCTGTGGGTTTGAACTCCGAAGCTCCGAGGCCAGGATTCATTATTACTTCCACACATCCGTTCCAGCAAGTTGGCTCTCTGCAGTTCATGGTCTACGGTTTACGGTCTGCAGTCTGCGATTTGCATTTCAATTATGTTCAAATTGCATCTTCTATATCGCTCTGCCATGCCAAATATTATTCAACAGGAGCAGGGGTACATTTTATGTTTGGTCTTTCAGTAGGTATATTCATATGTGTATATTTACTAGAAATGCGAAGTTTCATTTTCTGCAATTTATTTGGCAATGTGTCCTGCAGATAATTTGGCCAACGAGACTCTGATTGACTTGTTTGTATTTTATTTATACTAGAGAAAAAAATAACATCTTTAAAAAAATAGAAATAAATTACAAAAGAAAAAGGTCTTGTATTTTAGTTTGCCACAATAAATTAAACCATTAAAATAAAATCGTTGTTATTCTATTAAATAAATCATTCTCAATTTGTTACACAACCATCTATAGTTATATTAACAAATCATGATTTTAAATAAAACGAATTAAGGTATATATTTTTCAAAGCATTGTGCCTGTGTAAATAGGTGAGGGGATTTATTATAATTATATTTATACGTGAATATGTTAAATTACTGGGCGATCGTTCCGCTCCGTTTGCCCAAATAAAAACATTGAAGCATCAGATATGGATAGTCGCATCTGCCCAGATCGGTGACGTCATCGAATTGCTGTTTACACTGAGCCAGAACAATCTTCTCCTGTTCGGTTCCTCGATTTCCCACTCTCTCTAGATCGATTTTCCCATCTTCTCCGAAATATTCATCAATTACACATCTGCTGTAGCATTTAATATTAATGGGAACAGCAGAAACTGGAGTAGATGGATTTACTTCTTCCAAATCAGCACTGGTCAAGTTGTGATTTTTAAGGCAGTCCTCATCACCGAAACTACCAGGGAACTCCCACTGAAATAGAAGGTTTTATTAAGACAGATTCACAACCTTTTTGGTAAGAACTTACCATAGCTATAAGGAAGATCCATAAGAAAAGAGTGCGCTGGCCAACCTTCATGGCGAAAACTATTCTTCCAACTAACGCTGACCAACTTGATCATCAGCTTTATATTTATATATGCCTCTGATTTTAGTAAAGCCCAAAAGTAGACAAGCGATTTCAAAAGGTAAGCTATTATAAATAATCAACACACTTCAAAATTGAATAACAAAATCACTATCTTAATTTTCTTCATATTTATTGAGATAGAAAATATACAATTTTTTGGCTTTTATACTCCAAGCATCGTTAAACAAAAAAATATGTGTAGCCTATTCTACTGTACTGGACTTTATTCGTATATTTATTATATTTATTATATGGTTCATCAATGTTTATAAATACACATTATATTCACGCTTTGCAACTTGCAGCGAATATCACATCTCATGTATGATGTAAAAAAAAATAATATACCGTCATGTTATTGGGTTGGCCGCAGGCAGTGCTCACTGTACCGCCACGCAGTTCGTCGTTTTATACTTGGGTTTATCTTGCGGCTTTTTGCTTTCCTTTTTAGTATTAACTTAGTCTACTGTCTTTTTGGTAAGTATTTTCTTAATGGGTTCGTCGAAGCAAACGCCCATTGCCAATGAATAAATAAAGTAATAAAAATATTAAAATTAGCGAAGGAAAACATGGAATTAAAGCTGACACAAAAAAACACAAAAAAAATTATGATGTTAAACGTAGTTGGGTGAGAAGGTGGAGATGTGATGTTGATGTTTGTTTTGTTGAGGCACTTAGATCGATGCTACTGCAGTTTACTGCATTTGTGATGCGTGGAGAAGGGGGGCGTGGCAGCTAAGGGGGCGGGGCGGCTGCCTAGCAAACGAGGCGCTCGTTGTCCGCGTGAAAGATGCGATCATAGTTCTCGATCAGCACCTTGGCCAACATGTTCATGCGTCCAATGTCCAACTGAATCTGATTGGCGCTGAGGAGGCAAGGACCCCAAACGATGGCCAAATTGGTGGACGGCATGCGATTCGAAGCGCTGGCAGCGGCAACTCTGGAAGAAAAAAATCACACAAGTTAGATAAAAGTGTAAGAAAATAAAGTATAGAAGGGGAAACCCCCAATTAGTTACTACGTGATTCATAGGAGTTCACAGGTTTCTATTTGCAAATTATTCATTTTTGAATAGACGACTAAGGTGGTGTGACAATGCCCTTCTTTCTCAGTTTGTTATTATTATTAACGTTAAATTAGATAAATGAGTAATAAATTATATAGTTTGTGTGTTATTCACGAGATTTTTCATTTTACTGTTTGCAAGTTATTTATATTTGTATAATAGTACCCCTTTATTCTACTTTTCTGATTATTATTATTATTAAAATATAAGTAGACATATGTGTAATTAGTTATTTATTATTTAGTTAATATGTGCTAAGGGGTTCACAGATTTCTCTTTGTAAATTATAAAGGTCCCTATACCCAACTTTCTCTGGTTGTTCTCTTTTATTATAAGTTTATAATTAGATATATGTATATGTAATAAATTATATAGGAGAAAAAACCCCAATAAATTGATATGTAATATATGAGATTTTACCAACTTATGTTTGCAAGTAATTCATGTTTGAACAGACGACAAGGATGGATTCTCTAGATGTTATTATTATTAATATTACTACATATTATTATTAATATTAAAAAAGATATGTGTGTAATAAATTATATACGAGGGAAAACCCCTATTAGATGATATGTGATTCATGAGATATTTCTGTTTGCAAGTTATTCACATTTGAACAGTAGTGAGACAATGCGGGCATTATATTCCTCTTTCTCTGTGATCCCTTTTGCATAACCACTAACCTGGTCAAGTGCTTGATGAGGAAGCGCAGCGTGGAGCGGTTCGGCTCCGGCATGTCGTCGAAGGCCAGGCTCATCCGCTCGATGGCGGCGTCGTCGTTGAGACTCCTCCCCAGACGCTCGTAGGCCTCCTGGGTGATGAGTGGAGCAGTCAGCTCGCGGAAGAACTGCTTGTGCAGGCTGGTCAGCGTGTGGATGTCGTCCGTCTGCAGCCAGCGGGGATCGTACAGGTGGGTCAGCTTCTTGCGCAGCTCATCGACCAACACCTTATTCCCGGATGCCCTGTACAGGCCATCCTGTTCAATGCACTCGGACTGCTCAATATAGGCACACACATCCACCACAAATCGGGGAACATTCGGATGATCGGTCATGTTGAGCTCCAAGGTGTTCAATGGTGCGGCAAACAATGGATACTTCTGCTCATCCATGTACAGACTGTTCACCTGACCACGGCGACCACGTGACTTCTTTTCGCTCTTCGGCGAACGATTGCTGCAAAAAGTGAACTTTATTAGGTATGTTCTTGTGGGAGAATACGCTTTAAATGCCATTTCGCAGGGTTAAAGGTCAACATTTGTGGTAGTGTGTTAAGAAAATAGCAAAGAGTTATTGCTAACACTTCACACTTCCAAATGTTGTCTTAACCGATTTAAGCATAATTGATTAGCACTACTTACATGCGAAACACATTGCTGTTGACGGCGACTGCATTGAATTCGGAATTGGACATCCAAATATGAAAAAAAGAAATTATTAAATGATTGCTTCATTAGCTGGAAAGATATTAAACTACATTGCGATAAACGCCTGTCGATTAGGATGGAATTTTTCGACATCTAACTAGAGAGGATCAGGAATATTGAGCCACTCCCGTCTGCCAGCGGATTGCGTATGAAACTGTATGCCTACGCGAATAAATCTCAGCCAGGAATGTCTGTTTGTCAGTCAGACAGTCAGTCAGTAAGGCATTTTTCGCCATACATAGATTGTGAATCATTTGCGACTCATTTGCATTATCCGAAAAGAGCAGCAGCCGCATATGTATACAGAAAGACCCCCATTCCACAGAAGTGAAACCAGCTTTCATTAACGAAATCCCAGGGAGATAGAGACTCTGCTATTCGTCTTCGCAGTTCCATTCATCTATCCGTAGATAGAAGTCCCCAGTCACTCAGGTGATCGCTGTGTGGGCCACACCGACCTTAAAAGGCCAGCGAATGCTGCTATTGCACTCAACAAATTTTACGGACATTTTAATTTATATTTTAATTCAAGATAAATAACCCATAATTCATCCAAAGTTTGAGCTATAAATTTAACGTTTGATTCAAATTAAATAGGTTTAATGGTTTGAATAAAGAAAGAATATTTTTACGATTTCAGTAAGTAATTCTGAATAATCAATGTTTTAAAATTAATATACAAATAAATAAACAAAAAACAAATGAATCTTTGGTCCATGAAAAAAATGTGTAAAATATTCTGTTCAATGAGATTAATATTTTTTTCATTGTAATTATTTGGTTTTGAAAGTAAATTGTTTTAGGTGCATTGCAAATGGATTTTCCACTCGCCTTGGTGGTTTCTACTTGGAACTGGAGTTCCATGAGCAGCAGTATCTCTGCAGACAGTCGGGCGCCCTCCTTTAACCGGTTAGTGGCCAATTCACTTGAAGGAAAGTCATCGATGGCAAAAGAAGTTGGAGACACTTTCCGCCGATGACTAAATGTTGCAAGCGGACATAAATTCATTCCTGATTGCGCTTACTAACTAATTAGGGTCGTAGTAATTGTTAAATTGGAATTAGAATTCTAACTTGCATGTCAACAAAAATAATTTCCTATTATCCCAATTATTTGTTGTTGCCTTCCTATTAAGACTGCTCAAAAAGTTTTACTGAATTGCAAAATTGTGTGATTGTTGGTCTCAATTACTATTTAAACAGTTGTTTGAAGCTGATACTTTGGACTGGTTTTATTGGAGTTTATTTATGTATAATTTAAGCCTTCCAAACAAAAACTGGTGCCTTTTTCAGTCAAGTACGTGTTTACATAAATTCAAAATAAATTGTACACTTTTGTTTATATTTCCTCATGTGTATGTAACCATTTTAAAAAAATGCTTTAAATCTTTGCGATTAAACTCCTTTAAGAAATTTAATTTAAAAAAAAATTACCATCTTTGACCTTGCCCAACATTTCAAATGGAATTCATAAATATTATAAATATTATACCCTCTAACCGATATCTTTTTCAGACCAAAATAAAAAAACATTTCCGCAATGCTTTCTCCAGCTGCAGATCTTTGAAAATACTCACACTTCATCCGCATGCGGTTCTTAATGGACTTCTTGTCATCCTCGCCTGGAAGATCGAGCAGGTTGCCAATGGAGACGCTCTTGAAGCGCTGGAGAATCGTCGTCTGCTGCGTCTGCTGCACCTCATTGTCCTCCTGGATCTGCTGCGCCCGCAGAATGTCAGTCACTGGCACAATCTGGAAGACACACAAAGGGGAGTCACGCAGCGCATAAATATTCAAGTTTCGGAGGAGTTGGGGGCAATCTATGACTAGAAGACTAGAAGCTCTGCGAGCGTGCAATTGAGATACACAATCCGACAATCCAACAATCCGAGTAACGTCTGCAAATTAATTGCAGCTTTTCGTGCCGTTGTCGGTATCTATTTCTGTGTTTTTCTTTTCGTCGTTATACCAATTACAAAAACTAGTTAGGGGTATATTACAGGGGTGATGTTCTTTAGAAAATTTACTCTTTATTGTCTTATAATCCTTTCCGTAATGGAATGTTAATGATTCGAAAATTCCAGATATACTTTATCCTCTAGGCTGGTAATAACTAAGCATTATCTTTTCTGCAGGGTATCTAACACTCGAATTGGTTTTAGTAACTTGTTTTTTTTCTCGTTCGTATCGGAATTCTTATTACTTCGGGGGGAGTTCCCCTTCTCTTCTTCTCCTGGGTCCCCGTTTGGGGTTCCACCCATCGCTCACCGTTGTTTGCCTTCGCTTGGGATTGAATCTGCCCGCCATGTCTTATCGCTGCTCTATTGCGTTCTCCCTCACACCCACTGCGAACTATCAACTGCGATGCACGCTATCTCTTTCTCCGGCCGGACGGAAAGCGGAACGGAACAGAAGAACCGTACTCAAATAAAAGCACAAACACCAACACCAACACCAAAACAGAAACAGAAACAATTCTGATAAGAAATTGATTTCGATTTGTAAGAAATCGCGCAACGGTACAAAAACGAAAAAAAAAAAAAAATAATATAAAATAAAGTAAATGCAAGCGTCCGAGATAACGGTTAATCGAACAGTGCCGGTAGAAGGTGTCGCAGCCAATGCATTTAACGATTCCACCACGCCCTCAGCCCACCGCCCACCAGCTGGCACCACCCCCTCTCCACACCTCCCCGCCACCCAACTCTGTTTACGGTGGCATAAACAAATCCTCAGGTTATCGGCGACATATAAAACTTTTGATGGCGGGAGGGGGATATGCTATATATTTTGTCTACGGGAAAACTCTACTAAGTAAAAATGAGTTATTTGATTTCCAGTTTAATAGTTTAATAATTATTATAAAATCGAATTATTTTATTCTAATAAGAATATATTCTAATCAAAAGTATTTTCGTTTCCTTCATTTACAAAGCCAAATTACAGAATTATTTTACTGACTTCTGAATAAAAAAACTCTATGCACATATCTATTAGTATTTTTTCTATAGAAGCTTCACTGTAGCATATAGTCAAACAGAAGTTCCAGCTAGTCGGCCTGCGGGGGAAATCCTCAAAATGTTCAGCAAGCAAACCCAATCTGGCACCTGGAGTTCCCCTGAATTGAGTTTGGAGCCACATTTGTTTGCCTTCTCAACAAGGTACGTAAATTCAACAAGCAAGTCCCTTATAGATCTTCGATATTCCCAGAATACCGGAAGAAACTACATAGGAGATACAGAAAATTATGCAAGATTGCATATTATGTATAATAAGCAATAAAACGAGAAACATTTAAATATTAAAATAAAATAAAACGTTAAAATTATCTGAAATTATCTAGGTAATTTATAACGTTCTAAAAATAGTGTTGGTGACCCCGGTTTATTGTACGAAAAATATAAAAAATATATCCAATATTATTTGGAATATTATAAAAATAATGTTAGGTGACCCTAATTCATTGCCATTAAATAAAAAACATTCACTTTGTAAAAAGTGATTGTGCCTAATTAAAAGTGTACCTTGATTGTCTGGTTTTCCCCTGCTGAACATCGTGGAAAATGGGCATATAATATCAACAAACGAAAAGTTAAATAAACAAACTAAACTTTAAATGTGAAATAAACCGAAAGCCGCGTCCATATGTCTTTCCAGCGAAATCGATCGTTGGGCAATGAATATCGGATTTTCGTTCAGCCCCAATTAGCACTTGATAATTCCGACAATTTGGAGTCAAGCCACGCCGTTCGAACTGATTAGACTCAATTTGTTTTGGCTAATTTGTTTTCTGTTTTCGGCTTTCGGTGCGAGTGTCAGTATTTTGAGTTTTTGCGAGCGTAAACAATAGCGGAAATATTGCGTAGTTTTCGAATTTGTTTTACACGAAAAACTAAACACTAAACAAAAAGTATTTTTCTGCATACGAAAAAAAAATGTATGTGCGCCCAAATGGTAACAATAATAATGCCGAAAAAGAAGGCAACCGATTTAATTGATACGACCTCGACTAGTACATGTGTTTGCTTTGCTTTATTCGCGAGCCCGCAGATACAGTATCTGTATCTTGCGTCCATATCTACATATGTATCGCACCGTTCGCCACATGATTCACTGTAAAAAAGCCACACCGAAAAAACCGAAACGAACCGCGGAAAATAAACAAATGATCCGAAAGCCAAACAAAGGCGGCTCAGTTGACCTTTTTGTTTTGGGTTTGCTTTCGATGGTTTCCAGAAGAGGAGCTCCACCGCCGCCGCTGCCTTGAAGCCCCTCCTTTGCCAAAACAAACCAAAAAAAAAAAAACTAAGAAAAAAAAGCCCCAAAAACTCGGCTCAATGGCTTCAAATTTTTTTGACTGCGTGGGCACTCGACTCATTGAAATCTTGGCGTTCCGTTCGAATCTAAGACCAATTGAGATCGTGTTTCCCAAGTGTTGACAAACCAAATAAATCTACTTTGCCCCTTGAGTTTGACACAACTTATAGGACCACTCGAAAAGTCTTTTTTTTAAGCAATAGTTAATAGAATTCTCTTGAGATTGGGAAACTGTTTTATATTTTAAAATTGTGTTGTGAAATATTGGTTAAATTAATTAAATCAGCTTTAAATGCAACAAAAATTCCCCATTTAAGTCTGATCTTATGAATCTGCACGAGTAAACATATCCACACACATATCGTTAAGTCGGGACTTATTTATGGAACACTCAAGTTCCGTTATGTTTCCGATTTTTACAATCCAAGCGATAAAATTTGGTGGCTTAGTCAAAGGTTCCAAGAAGGAGCAACAGCGAGAATATAAAAACCGAGTGGGAAAACGAATTCCAGGGGGAAACAGAACGAAGAAGAGTTACAAAAATATTTGACTAATGATTAACCAATTAAATGCTGATAAATGCGATGAACGAAGCTTCGAGGCAGGAAATTACACATATGAAAGGCCCAAAAAACCGCAGAAAGTCGACTTCAAAGTCTCCATCAAAATGGAAAAATAAATAACATCCAAAACATATTCGTTATATTTACAAATAGAAAGAATATTTTATTTCCGAAAATATTTATAGTTTTATATTCCTATGAAAAGTTTAGTCTCCAAGCTAATAAATGTATTCAAAATATTTCTAAATTATAATTTATGAACTCTCAAGCTTCGATTGACTTTCCAAAACTGCCTTTAAGTCATAGAAAATCAGATATATCATACCCTTCAATAAGGGTATTAAAGACAGCAAGCTGATCTAGCAACAAGATTCTCCCCTCGAGCGGAAAACCGGTTTGCCAAAGTTTATAACAAAAATCAAAAAATTAACTATAGACGGACGCACACACACACACACACACAACAAACACACACAGATGGATATGTATATTACGGCAGAATATATGCAAGCCAAAAAGAGGAAAATAAATAAAAACAAAATAAATAAATAATTGTCGTTCGCGAAATGTGAATCAACATTTTGGGGCTCAGGGGAACAGGGGCGGAGTATCAAATGGGGGCGTGGGGGCGAAAGGGGGAGGGGAGGGATGAACTCTCCCTGTGAATTTCTATGGAATTTCACATGCAGCGGCAAATGCAGCAAACAGAAAACAAAAAAACGTGAGAGGCAAATAAATAAAAATACATTATGCAGAAAGCAGCACACGTACGTACATACTGCGAATGTATGTTTGTAAATTTGCACATACCTACAGGTATCGTACATTCGTACGATATGCATTATAAACAAAGTGCAATCAAAAGCCAAGTACGCCAAACTAGAAGATACATTTTCGGTCGACTCGAAAATGCTCTGGACAAAACGTAAGTCGCATTTGGTAAGTCAAATATTTGTGTAATATTTAGTATATATTTTTAAAATATATAAATAAAATAGGAAGTAACAATGCCTTCCAAAAAATATATATTTATGCAATATATTTTGGATTATATTCGTTCTCATGCGGATGTTTCAGTTTGACTATTAGGTAATTAATTAAAAAGAAATAGTTACTACTAAAACTAAAATAGCAGGAGTATTTATGAGGTATAATACTTGTTCCTCAAATCTTAATCACATATAACAAAAATGGAAAGGAATGCATATAAATTTAAAGTTTTTATATCTTCGTGCTGATTAAATTCCCATAAAGTATACCATTGTATTTTATTCAGAAATCTGCATGCAATTTGCTAGCTAATCACGGTCTCCCAAAGGGAATAGGGTATTTTCGACAAAAACAAATTTGGGTGCACTGTTCCCCCAAACGGAAGGTTGGGTAACTATTTGAGCCCCCGGAGAAGGGGTTCGCATAGATCGGCTAAAACAATCGCACGAACCGTTGCGCCCGGTGGAGAAAGGGATATGCAGATACAAAGATACAAAGATACAGATACATTTGCCGAGTTTAATTGATGTGACAAGTGACAAGTGGGGAAACAATGGCCATGCAAAGAAACAGAGAGAACGTACATGGCAAATTGCGAGTGACAAGAGTACACTCAGAAAAAAATGTTATCTAGAGCGCAAAAACGCGAGAATATTACAATACTTTACAAACGTAGATTACAATATTCTCTTTACAGATTAAAGAACAAAGAATGCAATCTTTGGGATTCATTTAATCAAGGTTAATAAAATATAAGTCACGACTTTGACGCTGATGCGAAATATCTTCTCAACTATTTTTAACTCAAGATTATCACTGATTGTTTAATGAAGCAAATTATTCAATGGCATCTTTTCATGTATATTTTGTTTGATTAAACCAAAATTTCCTACTTTCTGTCAAAAAACATCTAGCAGATGTTTACGAAAGATAATCCTAAATACTGTATGTATAAGAAAATTTAACTGAGTAATATTTTCAGAAAAGGAACTTGAGATTAAATGCATAAAATTAAGGCTTTCTAGAAGTAAAACTAATACCAATTAAGACCTGAAGTTTAATTAGTAAATATTATTTTAAAAATATAATGTTATAACATAATATTTCCCCCCTTTTCAGGACACTTCCTGCTTCACCCACTCACCATATCCTCTTCGTCCTCGCAGCAGTAGACATCCTTAAGCGTTTCCCGCCACGCCAAAACGGAATCCGTGTTCAGCAATAGCGCATTGGAGCGGACCCGCAGCTTGCGTCCCGCTCGCGGTGCCACGCCCCTTTTGCCGGCGACCGCCCCCGCGGCGAGAACGGCCCGCTCCCACTCCTCCTTGAGCGGTTGCGGAATGGGAAGGCTCCGGTGGGAGGGCTCCTCCTGGTCCTCCGCCTCGCAACTGCAACCGCTGTCGTCGTTTCGCTGCACCATTGGTGGAATCGGGGTCACCATTGAGGAGGAAGGCGGAGGAGGTGGGGCCGGACGACGAATGCGGGTCATGAAACGCTGGTGGACCAGCGATCGCTGGTAATCGTAGAATATAGCGCTGTACTTCTTCGGATCTTTCAGGCTGTAGAAGATGCAGATGTTTCTGAGGATCGGATGCACGAGCGGTACGATTTGGGTCACCACTGGCGGTGGCTGATCCACAGCTGAGTCCTTCGGTGGTAACCCTGGTAACCTTGAGCTTCCTGTGCTGCTAATCGAACCCAGTGTCGCCGTGCTGTTGGTCACCGTGCTGCCCAAACTGAGGGTCTCCTCCTCCTCCTTGCTCTCCCTTGAGTACATGAACTCCATGTCCGTCTCCCAGGCACCCTGATCCATGGAGGCGGTGGGCGAGGGCAGGGGCGTCGGTAGCATCAGCTTGGATCGCTTGGTCAGCGTCGATGTGGATAGTTTGTGGCGAACTCCGGCGGCGAAAACCGCTGCTGCCTGGAGAGCCATCACATCCGCATCGGCATCGGATGGCAGGGATTCGTCGTAGTCCTCCAGGTCCTCCACTTCGTCATCGTCCTCATCTTCATCCTCCTCCTCCTCGTCATCATCTTCACCCTCCGCTGGCAGAGCTTCGATAATCTCCTGATCGGCGGGCTCCAGAGTTTTAAACTGCCAAATGGTTTGGTAAATGGGTTCCTCCTCCTCCTCCTCCTCTTCTCGATCCGGATTTTCCTCAGCAAAAGAATTTTCCTTGGTTAAATCCTTTTCCAAACCATTTGGCTTGACATCCACCTCCTCCGACTGGCGGGGATTACTTAATGAAGTATTCGGATTTCGAACGGGAACTTTTGGCGCGGGACGTCGAACTTTTATTACGCAATTCTGAAATTTTATGGTAGAAAAAAACGTTGTTTTTCAACAATTTTTGGTATTACATCCTCACTTGTTGTTGCGTTTCACATGTTATCAAATATAATTTACAGAACGAGTTTAATTTACTTATTTATTCAGTCGCTCTTATTAACTTCAATGCTTTAAAGCACTTAATTTGCAAATTAAGTAAAATAGCAACAACATTTTTAAGGGGTGTTTCCCCTTCTAGAATTTAACCAGAAATTATCATTAATAAGCTAGTCATAAAAAAAATAAATTACTCCATAAAAAGTGCTAGGAATTACAATCATATTCAACTTTTATGCGCGGAATGATGGTAATTTCACATTTTTTATATATGGCAACATTTTTTTGGTTCAGAAAAAAAAAAAAAAAAAAAAGAACGTTAATTAAACGCTGATTATTTTATAGTTATCTTTTGTTTTCATTGCAAACTTGTTTGTTTTCCTCCACATTTTCTGCATTGTTTAATGGTTGTTTTTAATTAGATAAGTTTGTTTGTTTTGTTTTTGTGTTTTTCAATAGCCAATCGAACGTTGGCATCCCTTTCGTACGCGAACCGTTAGCCAATTCCGCACTGCAGTGAAACGCAACAACAACGAGTACACAGAAAAAAAATGTAGTGGCATATCAATTTTATCACATGATTTTTTGTTTGTCAAATAATTACTTTCAATCGGAATAGGTATTGCAAATGTGTTATCTTTGATGAAATCTACAAGATATGATTATCAAGATTATTTAATTTTTTATGGAGTTAATCGATCGAACTTCCCAACAAGTTGTATTGGCAATAGAAAGTGCACATGTTAAAATTAGAATTTAATTAGAATTAACTTCAATTTATTTGGCTTTAAACTTGTTGTGGAAGTTGTTGCTTTGGAAATTGAACTGTCAAATCACATTTTGCACATTTTTATCACTTAATTGATCGTTTTGTAAATGGATTTTTCCTTGTGTGGGTGTGTTTTATTTTTTAAGTAACTTATTCTGAAGCATTCTGTTGATAAGCCACTATTTCACTTATTTCAAATATTTTTCTGTATTTTTCTCTGTGCCTTTTAATTTTGCTTTTGATTGTTGTTGTTATTTAATGAGTGTTGACCTGAGTAATTTGCTGCTGCTGTTGTTGTTGTTCGCTGACATTGCAACTGGTGTTGCTGCTGCTGTTGTTGTTGTTGTTGGTGTTGCCGCTTTCATTGTCATCATTGTGATTATTGTTGTTGTTATTGTTGTGGCTGCAGTTGTTATTGTTGCTGGTGGGGCGCTCTGCCTCACCATTTGGCTTTGGCGCTGCCATCAAAGCTCTGTTTTTATTGTTGTTTTCGTTGCTGCTGCTGCTGCTGCTGATGATGGTGGTGGAGCTCTCGCCCCCACTGACACCCTCTTCCTCTCCCTCTCGCACTCGCTTAACGCTCCGCTTGAGACTTCGACTTCGAATCGCGCGACGCGACGGCGCAGCAGCACACAACACGTCGTCACTCTCTGAAATCGCTGGCGAAAATGAAACCGACCGATCACCAAAGAAGAGAAACAGGCGCCAATCGCCCCAAACTGAGTCACGCGCTCTCCGTCGACGGCGATAACCGCTGATCGGTAGTGGCTTTTGTTGTTGTTGTTGTTTTAGCCATTGGCAGAGCGATTTGTCATGAGCGCTGAGGAAGCCACGCACACACACATGCAAAGTGGTCGACAGAGCGAGACTTTGCATCAGGCGGAAGAGAGAGAGTTGGGGCAGGGTGGGGGCGGCGGTTTGCTCTTTGATTAATGCCACTTGTTGCTGCTCTGCTTTCTCTTTGCTAAGAGCACTCAGATAGTCATTCACAAATTCCGCTGTGATGGCGCAGCGTCGCAGCTCTTTCTCTGGCTCCGGTGGCTCCATAGGCTCCATTTTTAGCTGCAGCTTTCTCTTAAAGTCTTTAACCATGCTCTGCTCGTCCGGGTGCTCTTGTTGTTCTTGGCTCCTGTCCTTGCTTCTTCGCAGTGTGACCGTGACCTCTTCGGTTCGCCGCTCTCGCGGTGGCACGCTCTTAGGCTGCTGCCACGCCCCCGCCTCCTCGTATTGATGCACCTGCCGCCTCAATGATGTCATCCACTGACAGATGCTCTCGTTGAGGTACAAGGACGCCGATGAAGGTTCCTCCGATTTTTCATCCTGTTGCAGCAGTCGCATGCGAGAAACGCGCGGCTTCTTGCGCTCTCGCTTGCTATCCTCGGGTTCTCTTACCCGCCCGTAGATGTGCTGATCGCTCTGGCTGCTCTTAAGTTGCTGCTGCATTTGACTCTTGAGCTCGCAAATGCGCTGGAGGTCAAAGGTCTCCTGGGTGCGGAACACCTCGTCCACGTTGTGTATGATCTCCAGGGAACCGGAGCCCGAACTGCTGGATGGGGTCTTTGGGAATATCCTGCGTTGCAGCGACGACGAGCGGTTGAGCTGCTTAAGAGAGCCGAAGAGACGGGTCAAGGTCGCGGCACTGGACTTGGAATAGCCCAAGAGAGTGCGCGACTTGACCTTGACCGGGGGCGTGTGTGTCGGTGTGGGTGTGTTTGTGGGCGTGGCAGCAGGTGAGGCAGTGGGTGTGTCTGCCCTTTGACATTGGCACCTTTCGTTGTCGCTGTAAATTCCACGGCACAAATCGCAGATGTTCTCGTAGATGTTACTACTCTCGGATGGAGAGAGCGGGGCAGAAGGAGGCGGGGGTGGGGGAGGACTGACCACTCCCCCGCTCACGATGCACTGACAGAAATGGCAGTAGCGTCCTTGGGCGGCGAAAACCCCATAACCGCAACCGCGACACAAATTCTCGTAGATCGCCTCGCGTGGAAAATACTTTCGCAGCTCCGGAATCGGTTGATTTTTTATATTTGTGGGGGTGGCGGCGGTGGGCAGATTCTCGTAAATGGGCGACTCCATGCCGAGGTTATCGTTGATGTCCTTCGCCTGCTGTGGCATTGCTCTTTGTTTCCGATCTACTTTCTCTTATCGCCGCTGCGTCATGTCATAATTTAGTATTAAGTGAGAAAGAAATGGAGAGATAGCGAGAGAGCACTGTCTTCAAGTGAACACCATACACGGAAACAAATTGGCAAGTCTTTCCTATTTATTTTTCCTACTAATTTAGATACGCTTATTTAAAAAAGGTTTCCTTTAAAAATACAACTTATTTAAGAAAATGTATATTAATCGAAAACATATTATAATAATAATATTTTTCTCCATCTGTTACAACTACGGAAAAACCGATGCGTTTAAACTGTTTTAAAGTATGAACTGAAGTGAAGGCGCTACCCTCTATCTATATCTCTATCGCAATAGCTTTCTGTCTCGCTTCCGACTGCAAGCACCGATATTCATTATCTCAGTAAAAGTCGCTGCACTCTGCACTTAAGTGGCCCCAAGACGTCGACTTCGCCTTCAAATCACTCTCCTTGAGCTTAACCCCTGGTTAGCCAACCTCATTCACATTGCCTTCATTTTCGAAGCAAGGAAGAAGTTAAGGAGTATAGATCTATATCCAAGTATTACCCTTTGTTCTTAATGTGAGTATCTTGTATACCAATTGAAATGTCACAACCTATTTTGTAATTATTTTTCCGTAAAGAAAACTGGGTATGAAGATATTGTAACTATCTTTTTACCATAATATATAATATTTAAACTTCCCAAACAATGGTCAATGTGTGTATTTACTATCCAGTTCAAATAATCATTTAAGCCAAAAAACCTTTAATCGGATTTCATTTTCCCCTGAACAAGTTTAAATATTAGAAAATTAATCTGAAAAATGTTAAACCCTGCCAGAGGCAAAGAAAATTCCCAATGCCAAAGGGTTAACCACCAACTGGTTGCATTTCTTCCACTAGAATCTGTTTTTGTTTTTGCTTTTTGGGTGCGCTGGGTTTTGTTTTTTTTTTTTCTTTGTTGATATACGGGGATGAGTCAGAGGCCGATCCACCAAACCATGTCCGTCGGAGGGGCGTGTCCCCTCTCCCATTCCCTCGAATTCAAATTAAAGGCCCCTGACACAAGAAGAGCGAAGAGAGGTGAGAGGTAGATGCGAGAAAACCCCATGGGAAACAGGTTGGCCAGCCGAGAATTGTGTAACGCTCGCCGACTTCCTCACCTACGCCACACAGGTGCCGCCAGGTAAATGGAATGTGGGATATGGAATGTGCATAGCCCACACTTTGAGCATTATTTTTACTTTTTCTAGGTTCTACGGGGGGGAATTTACGAACACAAAGGAAGAATTCAGATTAAGAATTTTGGAGCATCAGCATCAGAAATAATAATACATTTGCATTTATAGAATTGATATTATTAAATAGTTACATTTTATGTAAAAGTTTTCTGAAATAGTTATTCAATTTAAAAATATTCATTTAAGATCTTTAAAGAATTTTTCAACACTACAAGTAAATATATCTATTTTTAGGAACTCTCTAAAGTAACTACACAATGATTTTCTTTCGAGTGCACAGGTATCCAAAACGGAAGGCGAGAGTGGCCCTAATGGAGTTAAGGTGCCAAGAAACGAGGCTCCGTACATTAATCTCTTGATCAGCGTAAGTGGGTAAATCATGTCTATCTCGATGGTAGATCTTAAAATCATTTTTCGGGAGGTTTCGCCTTATCGCATATTGGATTCTCTGATCTAGGATCGCGGCCATTAATCATAATCCGCTTGAGGCGGAAAAGGGAAACCGGTTAGGTTTTGAGGTGCTTTAAACACGTTTTGCATTCTTCATCGTTACACAAAACACACTTTCATTCTAAACTCATTTCAATAAAACGCTGCTATAAACTTTAAACACAAAGGCTCTAGATTCTAACAAGTATGTGTTTAATGGTGCAACAGAGCTACGACTTTAAGAGATACAAAAAAAAAAGAAAAGAATTAAGGCAGAAAAAGATCTTCTCGTTATTAGTCATTATTCGGTCTAGGACCATTAATCTTTATCGACTTGGTTAAAAACCGGTTCAAAATCAATCAAAAATAAGCCTTTCTTCCTTTTTTTACATTTCTTTTATAAAATATATTTCAAATGCTTCAATCTCAATCTTAAAGTGAAAATAAGTGTTTTAGTACAAACAACTCTCATTTCCATATAATTTTGTTTTCTAGCAAGCTTTGCAATCTACTTTTTCAATACACAAAATTAAGTGTTCCTAAGAGAAGTTTTCCCTAGCTAGTTCCCTGAACTAGGCCGATAACCAGGTCAACATTCTTGTGGCTGTTCACTGGGTCACAAGGGTGATGATTCCCCTGTGCTCCCTTAAATTTTATTCACTATTGACATTTTGTTTAGTGTTCAAGTGGTTCGACTGTCCGCACCCAATTTCTGTTATAATTACAAATAATACACGTTGTCCCTTTTATCATTGCACAGGCCAGGCCTAATTAATCCCGCTCGTACTTGAGGGCCATTTTCAAGAAGCTGGCGTATGAGATGGCCCCAGTGCCTTCGGGATCGGCCTCCTGCATCATCTCCTCGATGGTTGAGCGGTCCGGCTTCTCCGACAGCGTCTCCTCAAGGGCCAAGTGAAGTTCCTCGACCGACAGTACCCCGTCCCCGTTGCGATCGAATCGGTGGAAGGATTCGAGCAGCATTTCCTCCTGCTCCGCAAGGATCATAATGCGGCAGAAGCGATCGAGATCAACGATTTCACTGCCATCGGTGGCGTTTGGCGAAAGCAATTCGTGCAGCTCAGCTGAACACGGCCGCCGATTGAGGTGCTGCAAAAGGATATTCACTTCGACGGTGGTTATCTGTCCGGTGGCACTATCCTTGCACAGCAGGTCGTACACCTCCTTCAACTCCGTCTTGTCTTGGTCACTGAGGTCGCTCATGGTTAAAAAGTACTATGGATTATTCCGGCCCCAAATCTGCTGGTGTATCGATTTACTAGTTTTTTTTTATATTAATTTTTTGTGGTGGTGTTCGACCGATCTGCTTCCAAACTTACACCCTTTTTTAAACTCGTATTGCTTTCGTTTACAACTTTTTACTTTCTCCGAAAATTTAGAATTTTTGTGTTTTGTGCAAAATCGAAATAACTCAGATTGTAAGGTGCTGTTTGTGCGGCGTTCGTAATACGAATGAACTGAACAGACCCCTGACATCCATGCCTTGGTTTTCGCAGCCCACTACGCTTTTGAATTTTTATTTTGAACACTACACAGCCTACTTCATGACAGTGTTTTAAAATAATTTTGCTTTTACAGATTTACTTAATTTATCCCAACTCTTTGATTTGAAAAAACGTTGCCTTTTATATACTTTTTGATTTCACTAAATGGTTAAATAATAATATTATTATTGTAATGGTTGATTATTAAAGCACTTATGAGACATTTTTCAAATATAAGCACCATTCCTAGACTAAAAAAATCATATCACATTCTATTTTCATTCTACATAAAACTGCACATACCATTGATTGTATAAATTCAATTTTTCTTTTTTGTAAATTCAAAAGTGAAAATTTCTATTGAATGCAAAACATGACAGGGCTTACAAGTTTACTAAAAATTGAATCATGAGAGAACTTCTTAACTGATTTTCTTCTTGCTTCTTGGTTCCCTTTAAATATTTAAATATTTAAATATATTTTTGTGCTATTTTCAATTACCACAGAGGCCCAAAGAAGTCCGACTTAATTGGGCACCTCTTAAAGCCCGACTTGCATACTTTTGGGCATTAGGCCAAGACCTTCTTGACCCCGTCAATAAAACCCGACGAAGCCATGCGGCTCCCAGGGAAACAACAACAAAGCCAAAACTGCAGCCACCTCCACTCCATGGAAATCGGTGATTGTAAACTATCTACGGATTTGCCTATGTCGGTGATTCACCGCCGTCCATTTGCGGATAGCGACAAATGAATGAATGATGATGAATGTTTACAATGTGTAGTAATTCAGAAAAAAAAAACCAAACACACACACACCCATATATGTGGGGTAAAAAAAAAAATAAATAAAACGGGGCTTGGCCCCTTGAATTTCCCTTTTTTGAGCCAGTTATCTCACAGCGCTTATCTCACTTTCTCTCCAATTTCAAATCAAAATCAAAGTCCCGCTCTATGCACACATATAGCTGATCGATCCAGCCATTAATGCTTCACGTTTTCGAGTCGAGCACCAAAACAAAAAGTATACATTTCGAGCAATATCCACTGATAAGCCGAGCTTGGATTGGAAGTATTACGAAATCGGGCTGGGCATGGAGCGTTTTTATTCCATCAGATCGGAGCTACTGGCGCGACGCGTTCGCGAATTTAACAGAATATCAACTGAAATTGAACTCAAGATGCCGCCGAGAATTTTCTTGGGTGGCGGCGGCGGCGGTCCGCCTCGTAAGCGACTGCCGTTGCAGTCGACGTCGCTGTCGACGTCAGTCGTCGGCGTCGGCGGCAAGAGTCGGTGGCTATGGCGATGCCGACCTCCGGTCACCCAGGGAACGCGAGCACTCCACACTAGTCAGCAAAATGCGGGGAACCTCCCTTATACGTAGATATCCTCAGCCACCAAGTCAAAATTGGATGGACGAGTGACTAACTAACCAGAAAGTGGGGATTCAAAGCGGAGAGATTGATTAACTAAAGCGAAATCATAATACTTAGTATGCCTTGAATTATATGTATTTTTTATATGCGAAAAGAAACCCAAAACCTACTTTTAGATTACAAAAAGGGCTCCCAAACACTCTAAAAAGTTATAATTATTTTAAGAATCTCCATTTTTGAAATTTACATACTTACCCATTTTCTACTGATAAGAATGTTTAAATAAGCTTCCAGCTAATTGTTCCTAAAGTAATTAGAAAACAAAAAAGACACTTAAGCTTAAAATAAAAATACTTTTCAAATTTGTTTTTTAATCAATATTTTCTTTCTATAGTGATACTTATTTTCAAAACATATTTCTGTATTATGTTACTTTAATTTACGCATATCAAATGGATCCTACAATTCACATTTAGAGCTGTATAATGAATCAATGAGGTATACTCTCCACCTGTTACTCATATCAGCATAAATGCAACAACCCTTTAAACAATTTCCATGCTGACTAGTGTTGGCCAGAGATCAGCGATGGGGAGGCAAAAGCCCAGAACAGAATCGAACTGAACCACATGTGTGTAATGGAACATGGGCAACATGTGTGCCTCTGACTTTGTATTTGTGTATTGTGTTTGACAACGTGTGTGTGTGTGTGTGTGTAAGGGTTGGGGGGTGGGGATGGGGCGTGGCAGCGACAAAAGACGCTTTTTATACTCAACGCCCGTTGCCTAATTAAGCATATCGAGAACGGTCTCCGAGAACCGAGGAGGAGACCCCAAGTTGGAACTTCATATTCAGGGTGGGGGTGCAAAAAATAAAGGGAAAGGAAAAGGGGAGGAGGCGGAGGAGGAGGTAGGCTGGGGAAACTAACCATGATGAATGCTAAACGCCACTCAAGTATACACAGCAATTGCGTAAACCGATTACAATACTGCTTTTCTCAACACTTTTGCAACCGATTCAGATATGGAAATGAGAGCTGTACTTTGAATATGAAACTAGTCGTTTCGTTATATGGATTTAAATGGGATCGGGAAAAACAATGCATATGTACATCTTCGGGGAAATTTGATATCTTTTAAATAAATCTATATGTATATATGTACTGATCCTGAAAAGAAATATAAATAATTGTTAAGCAAATAACAAATATTCAAATTAAATTTCTTAGCTTTCTGTTGCACTTTTTACGTTAAACTTAGATCCTTGAAATATATGACTTGGTTTTAAAAAGTGTCCAATATCGGTGTCTCTATAAATCAAAACTGGAAGCAAATACAGAAGGGGGAAAGATAAAGATGCATCTTTAGAGAAAAGCAACAATCCAGAGGGAGAGAAAACGAGACTGAAACTGAAAATGAAAATGAAAATGAGAACGAGAATGCGAAGAAGCTGCAGAAGAATCGCACTGCAGTCGATGTTCAGCATTATGGTCGCTTGATCTTTGAACTAAATTAATTAAGCACAATGAACACAATTGTTGTTGTTATTGTTGTTGTGGTTGTTGTTGGCATTTCTGCCGTCGGCATCAAATGTATCCAGCAGATACACAACAACAAGTAGCACACATCGAAAGAAAGAAATGCATTCAGGCTGTGACCAACATTGCAGGCAACTGTTGTTTTTGCGCTTCCCTATATCCGGGGGATATATATTCATGAAGGTGAGGAAATCGACTGTTGGTTATCACAAGGTATGGAAGAAATACGAATTTTAAATGCGTGAAAGAATGCTGGTTTCTTTCAAGTTTAACGTTTTAAAAAACCTTCTTAATTAACAAATTAATTTGAATCACTGCTAAAGAATTTAACATCAGTTACAAAAATTAGCCCAAAAAGAAAATAAGAAAATATTAAAGTAATAAATTAAAAAAAATTTATTTATTTAGTAAATGGTAAATTGTCCTGTAATCCTTTTCATTTTCGCAGGGTATTTTTCATTCTTAATGGTTAGCAAATAAATTTCTTATGAACATATTTTTCATGTTTTCGCTTTCAGTTTATGTGTTTTTTTTTTTTTTTTTTTTTTACCCCGGCTCATATTTGGTTTGGCTTTTATGCGGGTCTTCCTCGGCCGCCTTCTTCCCCCGAAAAAAAAGAATTAAAAGGGGTGGCCCACGGCTCATGGCCCGTGGATGATGGTTGATGGTTGTTGTTTGATGCCTGGCCCACGGCCCTGTCCAAGTCCCCATCGCATCCACATCCACATCCCCATCCACATCCACATCCACATTTATGTCCCTGTCCAGACTCGCGTCTTTGGCATTATGTTTTGGTCGGTAATGAGTTGGCTGCGACTGCGACTGCGACTGCATTGTAGTGTTGTCGAAGCATTATAAATAAAAACAAAAGACTCTTCACCCAAAATATATTTAAATAATTTTTGAATACTTTAAATAATAATTAAAAAAAAAATTGTTTATATAATTTAATATATACTAATAAATAAAGACAAAATTTATAAGTAAGTAAGTAATCCATTTCATTCAAAAACTTACTTCACTAACACGCTATTGCAACCAAAAGAAACACCTTAATTTATTAAATAATAATTATTTTTATAATTCCAGCCACAAAAGAGTTAAAGTGGCAACTCCAATCCCCGCTGAATGCTGCATGTGCTTGCCACCCCCTTCCCCTCTCTTCGACGCCCCTGCCTCAGAGTTCACTTTATGATTATTATTGTTGGGCCGCGGTCTTCTCCTTTTTTAATGAATTTTATTAAGCGCGACAGCAGCAACAGCAGATAGATCGAGTGGAAAAAGTGGTGGGGTGGGGCATATGAAGGGGGAGGGGGAGTGATTGGGTGACCGGAGCCAGCAGCTTTTGTCAACGCCTCAAATTAAAATAAAGAGCTGCTGGTAAAAAAAACACATCCAATTAGTCTTCGTTTTTATTGACCAGCGCGTGTGACTCATTCGATGTTTTATATTATTCGAGCATAAAATCTAATCCAGGGAATTAGTCAATTATTGATAAATAAAACAATTTCTGGAAAATGGTGTGGAATAGGCGATAAAAAAGTACTCATTTTTAAGTGGTTTCATGGCCCTTATAAGCTGTTAAACGATTGCAAGGCTAATAAGATCAAGGTTTTATGTGTTTGCATAAAAAGAAATATTAAATATACCCAAAGTTTCTTAAGATTGGCATTTATCTTTGCAAAAAGATGGAATCAAATTAGTGAAATAAATGATATAAGTAAATACAAATAATTTGCATTTAGTTGATTATACTATAGCTGAAAGAGTAGAGTTAAAAGACTTCTCAACAAAAATCTGAAATATTCAAACTCAATTTTACTTTTCTGATAGGAAAATTTCAAAACAAAAGATACTTCGTTTGAATCGCATCTTCATGTATTCTTATCAGTAACACGCTGTCGAAGAGCCCCTGAAACTTGACTCATAGAATCATTTAAGATAAAAACGCAGAGATAAAGCAAAAAATGAGGAGGTGAAATTGTGAGAAACAAATGACACATTCTGGGGATGAGAGGGTATGAACGGAAGCTCAAATTGGAATTGGAATCGGAACGCAAATACGAATTCGAATTGAAATGGGAATGTCAGCTCAAGTGTCAATCAGACGACGAACGACGATTCTACTTGGCGCTGCATTAACAAAGGAAAAATAAAATTAAAAGAGAAATTTCGAGCCAGAAGTGCGGGGCAAATCAGAGCGAGAAAATGAAATGCATAAATAAAGCCAAATGGAAATAATGCACACTGTATCTATGTGACCGCCTCGGTGTACGTGTATTTGTGCCGTTGACTGATGACAAAATTGTTTCACTCGTCAGTCAGCGAACCAAACGATAAAATCCCAACACAGCGAGAAAAAATGTGTGTTTTTGTCATTCCAGAAGAAGTTTAAAACGTTGCAAAGCGCATTTCAGAACTAAAAATAATATTAAGCTATTACAATTAATTACAGTTCCTGAGTTTCAATTATTGAAACATTTTTAAGTTTGAAAACATTTCATATATTATTTTATGGAAGAAGGTAATTAGAACATTTACTTTCAGTGTATGCCTTATATACTCCTTCAGTCGCATCAGAGAAATTCGCTTTGCAATTTCTTGCTAATGTGACTCGGGCAGTTATGGTATTATGGTATTATTCTTTATGCCAAGTATCTTTTATTAACTTGGATTGCAACTTCAAGGCGGCAAAAGACGCGCGAAACCCGCACTGAAAACGCGCCTGAAACGCTTGCAAGTCGCTCGAAGAACGCATGCGCAGCCGCAGTTGCAATTGCAATTGCAATTACAATTAGTCGCCAAGTAGAAGACGAAACATAACAATGAAAATGAAAATGAAAATGAAAACGAGGCCCGACTAAAAGATGATAAAGCAGAGAAAAGCAAGTGGAAAAACACGCAACGGAAAACGAGGCGAAAAAAACCGAGAAATAAAACCATGCGCAATGCATTTTGCCATTGCATCAGTGCACCTCATGGGTTAAAAAGGGGTTTTTTGGGGGAGGGGGCTTAACCCAAATGGTACAATGGAAGCCCCTGTGCGGTCGACCAGCCCCTCGGAATAACATTTCCAAATCACATTCACTATGGCCAATAATTTTTCAAGTGATTTATGGTAGATTTTAAAAAGCCTCACAATTTATTCTGCCTAATTTGCAAGCGTTTGAAAGCAGTAAACCTAGCTTCTTCAGCACATCATTAAAACAAATAATATAATTTTTTATTTAAC